AGCAACAGCAACAACACAACAACAATACTACTACTACTTACTACTACTTACTACTACTTACTACTACTACTACTACTACTACTACTACTACTACTACTACTACTACTACTACTACTACTACTACTACTACTACTACTACTACACTACACTACAACCACACAACAACTACAACTACAACTACAACTACAACTACAAAACAACTACAGCTACAACCATATGACTGCAACTACACTACACTAATTACATTACACCACAACTACAACTCCACTACGCTACAACTACAACTACACTTGCAGTACATCACACTACATCCAGCAGTTGTGGGTGAGGTGACCACTGCAACCATTGCAACCATTCCAGCAAACACAACTCCAACCACCTTTCGGTCAATCAGTGGCTTCGCTCTGCCATCCCTGATTCACAACAACCAACTTCTCCTGTAGGTTTCCTATTTTTGAAACTTACGCCACCGCCTTGTGCGGTACTACTGGTAGAATGTATAATCCCATTTATAACCAGTTATAAATGGTAAATGGCCAGAACTGTATTGAAACCCATGGTAACTCAGGATCCGCCATTTTATCAATTTGAACAAGCCCCATGCCATATAATGATCAACCATTGCTACCCTATGGTTCTTTAATGTAGCAGAGGCGTAGGTCTACCACCAACCAGATTTCTAAATCATCATAATTCATGGGCAAGATATATTCAATTACCTTCGAGTGGTCCCCACCCTGACACACGATTCTGACATAGTGACATAGTTACTGTCATACCATCTGGAAGCTAATATATGGCATACATAATATGTATATATATATATATGTATATCTGACATTCTGACATTCTAGCTGACATTCTTTCTGGCACATACTCTGACATTCTATCTGACATTCTTTCTGCCATTCTATTTGGCATCTATTCAGACATGGCTCACATACGTTCTGGCATAGATTCTGACATTTTTTCTGGCATTCCATCTGGCACGGCATTCTCTCCAGCATTCTCTCTGGCATGTGTTCGGGCTCAGGCGTGCTACGGCATCCGGAGCTGGCGGTGTTCGGGTCCAGACGTGCCACACAGCATCCGGGGCGATATGAGAGCGAGTGCAGCAAGTGCAGCAAGCCAGGAGGAGGAGAAGGAAGAGGAGGAGGAGGAGGAGGAGAAGGAAGAGGAGGAGGAGGAGGAGAAGACGGAAGGAAGGAAGGAAGGAAGGAAGGAAGGAAGCAAGGAAGCAAGCAAGCAAGGAAGGAAGGAAGGAAGCAAGCAAGGAAGGAAGGAAGGAAGGCGGGGCGGAAGGAGATGCAACTTAGTTAAAATCTAGAGACCCTCACATGGCAGGTGGGGAATATCCATTGCTAAATTTGATCAAGCCATCTCTACTCCCTTGAGTTTGTTCAATCGTCAGGAGTACATGACGCACAACAGCAACCGTACGAGGGATTGCCGGGATCCTTAGGAGGATGGGCAGCAGGGGACACGGCCTAAACATGCCTAAATGGGTCGGTTTGTCCCAAAAGGGGGGATATCCCAACTTATGGAACTGTGAATGGGAAGTATGACAATAAATCATGAAGTATTGGTAGAGTGGTGCCGCATGTTCAAAGAGAGCCACGAGAGCCGTGATGTTACCAACAACATCTTTTTCAGTTCTCATGGGTTTCAACACGTGTTCTCGATGCCAAGTTGTCCTCTAGGAAGGTCTGCCAATCATTTTGCCGATTCTGCCCATCCAATCAGAAAAAAAATCACAGAAAACAAGTTCCGGTCATCTCCAAACGTGGACTAAACTTTAAAGTCATCCAAGATTGCCATGAAAATCCCTGCCCTACCATATGATAAATAATATAATATCCCATCCAATCATCCGCGATCTGCTATTTGGTATACATCCATTATGATTGTTACGAAAAACATCCATTATGATTTGTACCTAATCATTTGTGTAACATCCAGTCCAGTCAATTAAGATATCCAAGACTGATGACTAAGATATCCATAAGTCATAAGATATCCATCCCTAAGATATCCATCGGATGTTTGGTCTACGGCGCAGATGAGTCGTTTTTTTGTTCGCTTCAGGACAGTGCGACAGCCACCAGTCAGTGATCCCTCGCGGAGTCCGTTACGCGGAAGGCACCAAGTGGAATGACGACAGAAATCCATAGCTGGTTGGTGGTTCATCCCAAAAGTTGGCCGCGAGGACCGGATGTTTTTCCATTGATGGTCGAGTTGTTGCGACTCAAATTTGAGCTGCTGAAATCGCAATGAATATTTTTTTTTCAGATTTTAGGGATACTCAATACATATGTCATATATACATACATATATATATATATATTGAATTATATATTTGTTGGGTCCACAAATCAGGGATCACATGGCGCCATACATTTCTGCACTCTTTTCGTGATCATTCCAGCTGTGGTGTCACTCGAAGACGGAGTAGCCACCTGGTCGCCTCCTGGTCACAGGATGTCACAGGATGTCACTGGCGATTCGCCATTCACAGCTATGATCCAAGCCAACACAATGCATAGATTTGACAGCTATGATGAACCAAAAATGGATCATAGATACCTGTAATGTTCACCGAAAATGTTCAACCAGAGGATTTTTGATTATTTTTGTAGACACCGTCAAAATCTTCAGAGATACCTATCCCATGACGGATCCATGGTGCTGGTAGATTAATGCTAACATAAAGGGGGTATATTGATGGGATCCATGTTACCATATATAGCAGCACCATGGATCCCATGGGTATATTGCTTGGATGTCAAAATATGTCTCTTAAGTGCTCGTTGGTTTCAACATCATTCAACCATAGACATTGTGGCTGTGGATATTTGAGATGATGATTCATTAAGGGTAAGATATTCTGCATCAGTAATATTTTTGGGATGTAGAATGTAGACCAAATTAGACCAATAATCAGTCACACGTATTGGGTGCTATTTTACCCTTTGAAGTATGATGCTATTTCACCTCCTTACTGGTTAAAGCGCGGTCTCGCTTTTAAAGGGTTTCATGTAAAGTTGTTATGGGGTGGCTGCGTCGACGAAAAACTCACTTCCAGCAGCGCGCAGATCCCTGAAAAGGATTGGCTTGAGGGGTCAGAGTTGAAGTTCTGCGCTTCTGTGTTTGTCTGGAAAGACCTCCAAAAAATGGCTTAGTCCAAAAAAGTTGGCATTTACCCCAGACACTGCCATTTGAAAACGTAATATGAAGTGTCAGCCGTGAAGCTTTTTGTTGCATTTTGCCTTTCGCCCTTGCGCCGTGAAGCCGATCGAATTTTTTTCCGGGATTTGTCCTTGCAGGGATGAGATGAGTTCAGAACTGTCCAGGCTGTTTCAATGGATGGATCACTGGCTTCATAGGGCCATAGGGACCTCAAAATATCAAAGTTCCATCGAGGTGGTAGATTCTCTGTGGTTCCAGTAGTTAGTTATTTTGATCCATGCCATGCCCAGAAAATGAAGGTCCAGAAAAGATCAGAAAATGATGTCCGAAAAAAATGGCAGCAATTTTTTATGAGGCTGATAATGAGGTTGATAATGCCAACGATCATGAAACACAAGGGTTTTTGAGACGCCGGAACTTCAGTTGGTCGCTTCATACAAAGAAAGTGCAGTGTTTGCTGATGTGAGTGACGATTCTCATTGAAAACCTGATTTCTTGTACAAACCCACCAGGCATGGCATCTCCATCCATTTTTCTACAAATCGTTTTTTTCCCATTGACACGGGGATATATCTTCATTCTTCGTCCCCACGCTTTTTGTGGATAAAACATGCTTTTGTGGATAAAACATGATGAACATTATGCCATATGCTCCATGGTGCTGGAATATGAATCCCACATAATCCCACCATTTACCCCACAAATGGCCCAGTTTTGTATGTAAATATACTATACATGGGTTATGCCATACCAAATTTGATTTCCCCATCCCTGATTTTTGTTGGGGATTATCGGATGGGTTGTGAACACAGAAACTCGCCATGTTTCTTCCGGTAAAAATCATGGCAGCAATGCTTTCCTGAAGCGCCCTGTGGCTTCGTTGCCAGCTGCTCTGCCATGCATCTAGGTTCAAGTGGCCGGCGGTTTTAAATATGTCCAATTGTTTTCCAAAAATGTTAGTAAAGTAATAGTAAGTCGCGCTATTTTGATGGTTCATACCACCCCTTCATGGTGATTTTGTGAATGGTTTACTATTACATTACAAGGTTTTTGAATTTATGCAAGAATTTGGGGATTGATTGAAAAACACCACCTTTGGATGGTAGTTGGGAGTGATTCCTCGAAAGCTTATGGAATTTCAAGAAACACCAACCAAGACGATGGTCTTGGGGAACTGGTAATGTTCTGGGGGAAATCCACAACACTTGGTGACTTTCCCAGCCTGAGGGAAGCTTCACTGGTTTGTTTACTCAATTGCTACCAGAACAAAACAAACATTTGAGCCGTGGTGGTAGTGATGTGAAACCACTTTGTCACCCCCATTTGCGGCCCGTCAGGGCGCCAGTCGAATGTTTGTTAAGATTTGGCCCGGACACGAAGGCGTTTTTTTGCAGATGTTTTGTTTGTGGAAAGTTTCAAACTACGAGAACAAAAGCCACCCAGTCAATCAGTCATCAGATTTTACATTATCATACCATATTCAGAGCATGTTTGTTTTTTTTCATGATCTCTATTCTTGGGAAATATTTCAGTGCGGGTTAGTGGTTAAAATTGAAATGGTTCCAAAACGGTTTTTTTCGGTGTGGTGAGCCTTGAGCCTTCAAGTTCAACCATCTGCATGCGCATGCTATGCACATTACGGCATCTCCAAATCCCACCAAGAACAGAAATGATTGGCTCAAAAAGCGAGATAAACCCCAGAATTTGGATGGTTTAATATGGTGTGATACACAAAATCTATCAGACTTGTTGGTTTGGACTTTGAATTAGTTAATTACTCCTAAACTTGGGTCGCAGTCGTAAGTTTATCTGAGGAATGGCAACACTGATGTGGATGGGCAAGTGCTTCTGTCTGAGCATGTCTATCATGCTACTGAGCTGGAACACTTGGAGTCAGCCTTGGAAGTTCCTGATTCTTGAGCATGTCCCATTAGTCCAGAGACACCGACAGAGCAAGTAACGAGTCTCCAGTTGGACAAACTTGCCCTGAAACAGTGGTTACTTCCCATTTCCATTGCTGTTCGCTCCAAGCAATTCCTTGGATTTCTATGGCTACAGTATTTAGGTTTCGAACGGTTTGAATCCCAGGATACCATTGGAATATGTTGGAATAAGCCAGTTGACAGGATACCATTACTCCAGGGATAGCTTGAACAGCAGTCACCAGGTTGGTTTCATAACCGTGTCCCAGATAAGAAACGTTGTTTTACCATCGTTTCTGTGGAAGGTCGCCCAATTTATCCATGATCCAATTCTTTCGTCCCCAGACTTGGATACAAGGGAAAGTTGACACGATCCCAAGAATTGACATGTAAAGACCATGGAAAGACCATGGTGAACAGCGTATGTTTTTGGTGATGTTCCCAACGAAATCAACCCATTGGCCATCTTTGGTCATTAAATATCGTTAAATCAGACATAAATCACAATTTTGAGTGAAATCCCAGAATTTGAGTGGCTCTAGATGCTCATCATTTTGAAAAAAAAACATTTTGAGTGGTTTTTTATCCCAGATTTTGGGGTTCCAAGTTCTCGAGGTTTGTTTGGCGCATGCCTTGATTACTGAGAGAGAAGAGGTGATGGGCACCTTGGACCAAGCGAATGGACCTGGCATGGCGCATTGGACAGAAATTCCTGCAGGTCTTTTTCAGCACGACCAGTTGGCAAATCTCATGTTTCACAATGATCACGACCAGGGGTATGTTGGGGTACCCAAAAAACCATCGGAAAATTCATGTGCAACGGTTGGTCTTGAACCGCCCCGGGTTCATGTATTCAAATGGGTGTGTCTTTTCTATGGGATATACCCCTTGTTTCCATCCACTGGATTTGGGATGATAAACTCATGGAATTTTGCCTGAGTTGGGGTCAATAAATGCACCAACCACATATTGGTCTCAAGAAAAACCACCAAACAACCCACCCTCTGGTAAACTAACAGTTTGCTATTGAAAATGGCCCAGTCGAAATAGTGGATTTTCCCATTAAAAGTGGTGGATCTTTCACCGCTCCCGATCTGATCGGGACAAGTGAGCCTGATCAGGGTCTGCTCGCAGCGATTGATCGATTTATCGTAGCAATGTGGCCCAAAAGTCAATTGAAATCTATGAATCTGGGTAAATTATAACGACCTCACTGCGACCTCACTGGAATCATGGTTAGTAAGGAACATCATCCCTTAAATGGCCGCAAGATTCAGGTTAGTGAAATATTATTTCATTTACCCAGATGAATTTGTTCTTTTATGCAGGATCAAAACATATCAAAACATCCCAAAAAAGCCGAAAACTCTCGGAGGAAGGCCTGAAAATCCACCTCCACCAGCGTCACAGGTCTCCTGTTGGGTGATGTGCACCAATCACAGGCCTGTGTCCCTGGGGCAAGCGTGGATGCGAAATAAATAGAGGTTTCCGAAGTCATGGGGCTAGCCCCAAATCATCCATGTGGATTTCCCCCTAACAAAAACCATCCAGCTATTGGGAAGCCCCATTTTCAGGAAACCACCATTTTCAGGGAATGTCTACGAACCAGCCAAGATTTTATGTTTTTGCTAGGGGGTCTACAGTAAGATTGGCAATGATCCGAAATCGGTCATGAAAAATGATAGGGGAAACCAAAGGTTGTGTCTTAACTTGAAGCCAGTAAAAAAAAAACACTTGTCTTGGGTATGGTTTTGTTTTTAATATATCCTGGGTGTTGAAAATGATTGAATTGGGTATGATTTTGACTATCCACTATCAAGGTGTTGAACATTACTGAATGGGGTATGGTTTACTGGCTTTAGCCAGATGAAGATACCCTAACATGGCCGGCTGAATTTGGAATATTTGCAATATGCAGTGTTACGGTAATCAAAACAACCGCCGACAGAGCAAAGTTCAAGTACCACAGGATACGCAAACTTGGTCATTCTGAGTATCAAGGCATCCAATATTCATGGGATCCCACATGTTTGACCAATACGCAATAGGGGAGGCAACTATTGAAACCTCTTAGTATTTTGCACACTGCTGGACACACACACACAGACATGTCTTTTATACCTTGACGATGGCCGAGAACTGGCTTGAGTAGAAACAACTTTACTGGTGCGTTTTACGCAGGGAATTTTCGGGAATGATCCAGCAATCATCACATTCGTTTCATGTCATCATCCCAGCAACCCCCAGCAACCCATCCAGCAACCCTACGTTTAGCACCGCACCAGTTTCGGATCTGCAGGTTCGGATCTGGAGTTCAATCAGCCTGTCGCTTGACTGCCAGTATTTTTTTATGCCTGGTTATGACAGTTCGCCATGGACAGATCCACCATTTTAATATCTACATCTACATCATCTATTTCTATGGGTTTTCCAGTTCGCTATGTAACTTAAATAACCAGCTGGGGTAGATGGATTTCGTCATCTTTGCAAGTCCAAGATCATGATTAAAATCCATTGGAAAATGCCTCCGCCATCTCGCAGAAACTGTTTTTTTTGATGCAGCAACCGCAGGTGGGGACCGGGGCTTCCCTGGGTTTGGCTTCCCAATTTTGTGTAGCTAAATCGATCTAGTCCCATCCACTTTTTATATGGTCAACACCTCCATCTGGTTGGTGGTTTGGAACATGAATTTTATTTTTCCATATATTGGGAACAATCATCCCAACTGACGAACTCCATGATTTTTCAGAGGGCTAGGTTGAAACCACCAAACAGGAACGCTCGTCTCCGACCGTCTTTTTAAGATGCGAAGTGTCTTCTGTGTCTTCCCCTTAAGCACCCACATATCTTCAGCATTTGTTGTTTATTTCCCATAGGATCCATGGTGCTGCTATATATGGTAACATGGATCCCATCAATATACCCCAGTCATGTTAGCATATATTCCAGCACCATGGATCCGTCATGGGTTTGTTGTTGGCCAAGATCACACAGTGTAGCACCGTTCACATGTCACAGCAGGCGGGCCCCCACCGTCCCAAGCATTCCCCCCCCATCATTGAGGCGTCGCAGTGACAAGCGGCCGGACCGTGTGGAGATTGCGCCAGAACAATTGGTGGAAGCCGTGGAGTACGCCGAGAAGCTTAGCCAGGCGAAGATGGGAGAACTTGGGAGAACTTTGAAATTACTTGATATATAATGATAATAGATGATGTATAGTCTATAGTTGTTTAAAGAGTTTTAAAGATATGATTTTACATCCTCGTTTTTTTGATATAAATATGTAATAATATATATATATATATATGTTTATTTGATACATGCAACTGAACAAGTTGTTGGTGCCCACTGAACATGGATAGCAATGACGGCGGCCTTTTTTTTCGGGTTCTGGGGACCTTGCTAGTCGGGGCAATCAGCTTGCACAAAGAATGGGGATGAAAGCTTCTGAAACACAGAAACCTGGGAATGTCACAGCCATGGATTTGTCAAGAAACAGCCACATAAAGACAGTGATTTGGCTTGGTTTGCCTGAGAAGCAGGATAGTATGGGGCCATGTACCATAGAATTTTGTTTTTTCCCCTAAATTTTTAGACACTCCGAGTCGGAATCGGAGAATCGGAATGTCTGCTTCGGGATGATGATGTTCGAAGTTTGCAGCGTGAAAGACAACTGGGCAAGAAGGGCGGGTGAGATCACAAAATGCGTTCAGTCACAGGATCTAGATTCTTGATTCAAAACAAAATGCCTTTACCCATGTATTCGATCAAGTTTTCTACTTTTGTTTTTTTTGGACATGCTTAGCTGCTTGGAAGTTAGCCGTGATGCACTCTACAGTTACGTGCAAGTTGCAACTTTGGCATTTTTTGGGGGGTCTCAACCAAGAGATTTTCCATGCCTTTGTAAAGGTCAGGCATCGAACATCACCTGTAGGTGATGAAACGCACCTGTCGAGTCGTGGGCTGGTGCTTTGGCTGTACGACCGGGCCATGTGGGGCCAGCTGAGAAGCAACCAATTCAGCCTGCAGTGTGACATGCCACTAGTGTCCTTTTTCGGCATGTTCCATGATTTTCCTGCAAAAAGCCTGTTTTTCCATCATTTTCCATCATTTTCCACTATCGCGAAGCCAGTAAAGCCTGTTTTTGTAGACATGACATGACCGAAGCGGCGGCGTGTGAGGTACCACTCGCATCCTCACATCACCTGCTTCCCAAGTCATGTGGATCTGCGTACACAGCTTCAGTATCAGTCGATGGACTTAGAGCCTTTATCCTGACGCGGCAGACGGGGCTGTGGCACGCTGTAGCTTATTTTCGAAACATGGTGAACCTAGTCTTGTTGTTGTTTAGTAGAGACATGTATGGAGGAATGATCCATAATAACTATTACATCAACCATCATCCGATTGCTCCGTTTGCTATATATGATATAAGATAATATAAGCACCAGTCATTGGGCCTCACCAATACAAATTTCAGAACCCCATTTGATCGAGGATTTTGAGGTGTGAGGTGAGCTGCAGTCCATGTTGGCTGGCCTCTTAGGCAGTGTAAGTCTCAAAATCTGCCCCAAAATATCGAGACAAGCCCCATTGGCACATTTCAATACATTTCATACTAATCATTCAGCCGATTTTGTGGTTGCATCGGGCCCTCATATTGACAGAATGAGAATGGGTGATACCTTACCAATGACTGCTGCATGCGAAAGTCAGCTGATGTTCCATGATGTTCCTATAGGTCTCTTTTTCTTATTGTTTGTTAATTGATAGAGGGGTTAACCCCAATTCAAACCCAATAGGTAAATGACGATAAACCAGTGATATAAATGGATATAAATGATAGATGCCAGATCGGCCAGACTATTTTTCCCAAATGAATAGTGTCGACACTCCATCACTATTCGATCATTTTTTGTCCCTATTTGGCTTGCCATCTATTGTGGATAGACTTACTGTTTCCAGACATGTATCATTCATGTTCATTGATATATATATATATATATAGTTGATTGTATATAAATGCCATTATAATATTATATCATAAAATATCATAAATTATGTTATATCCCATGAGAACTCCATTATTTTTTTTCGCTAAAAGATGCAGAAATCCATAGAAATCCCCCCAAATTTTGCGAATCAGCTGATGTTTCTCAGGATTTTGTGGGTCTGATCTTTGGAGTCTTCAACTATGGCAACTTCGGCTGCTGGGATGTTGGCATAGCTGCGAGCAGCGGATGTCCCACATGTCCCATTGTACCCGGTACCTGGGAAGTTGTGGTTCATGGCTAGGCCTTAAGTGTTCCGTAAACGGCTTCCAAACCTATGATATCATGTATGAGTTTGAAGAGATTACAAGCCACGTACCACCGACTTCCTCACCATATCATTCCAGTCATACCATACCATGAGGCTCCACTCACCACGATCTCATCGCGTTTCGGGCGCTGGAGACACCCAAGGACGAGTGCCAGCTTCGATTGGGATGCCGTTCATGTCATACTCCCGTAATGATTTTCTGTGTTTGTTGATGATATGTTTCACAATATCATACTCATATGGTGGATGGTTGCGAAATCCTGCACCAGTTCATAGGTGGTTTATCCCATTATTCATAGGGTTTCAGCCATCCGTTTGGTGATGCAGGATTTCGCTGGCCCATCCACAGTGGTTATCATCCCCCAGGCCCCCAATGAGAATCGAAATGGGGAATCG